TGTTGTGAACATAATCTAAATTAGTGAATATTTCTTGTGATTTTTCAGCAGAGTATATACTCTACAGTTATGAATGAAGAATTTTATAATATCCATTGAGTCCATTTAGGGGGTGATGTTCATTTTAATTTTCTATACAGTTACACATTTCTTAACTTTATTACTTTTTAATGGAGATGTTTTGAAATCTTCAGAATTATTTATGGATTTGAGATTTTTTCCCTTTGATTTCATGTTTTTGTTCATCTGCTTTAAAGGTTTGTTTAGTGTAATACATATTAAGAAGTGTTAGTTTTTATTAGAAAACCACCTTCTATATCATTATATGATCATGATAATCCTTTTTTTCTTTGAGGAACAGATTAGTAATAAATACAAAAATGTCATCAGGTTTTGTTCAATCTAGTGAGAGAGATAGGATGAAGTGGCTGAAATTTTGTGTCGCTTTGTGCCAAGAATTTAGGTGTACAGATAATGCATTTGTCTAAACTTTGGAAAAATACTGTTTTTTCCTCCCTCAGAACTTACTTAAAATCCAGAATTTTCAAAATAGTTTTATTTTCCCCATCCTACCCTCAGAATGATGAGGGAATGTTTCTTTTATCATTTTGAGAACCTGGCAGTGCTGGTGAAGATACAATGAAGAAAGTTTTAGGATATCTAATATCTGACCCCAAGGATTTGTGCCTCTCAGATGAATTGCTTTATCCTTATTCTACCCTTATTTGGTTCTGTGGTTTCTGAGGAGTAATTTATGCTTCTAGCAGTCTATGTCTTTATTCTCCTGGTTAGCCTTACAGGGTTTCTGATTTTAAGATAGTTTGCTTTTTTGTTTTTTTGTTTATTTATTTATGTATGTGTGTGTGTGTGTGTGTGTGTGTGTGTGTCCAGCTCAGCCCACCAGGGGGTGGGGCTGGCTGGCATGTGGTGCTGGGGGATTGAACCATGGTCCCTGTGCTTTGCTAAGCCTGTTCTAAGTAGGTGCTTTAGACCACTGAGCCATCTCACCAGCCCCTGCTTTTTTGTTAATGAGATTAAAAACATTTGTTATGTGTGTTTCCAGGTAAACTGCAAAGTAGAAGAGTATGAGTTTACTATTGGATTGTTATTGGCCATATTTAAGCCCTAAATATATGTTCAATTTGCTTCTCAATTAAAGATATTGTAATCAAAATGTATGTGTTCACTACTTTGGACCTGACAGATACTTTGGCAATTTACAATTCTGTCTTTAAAAGTGAAACCACTAAGACAACAATATGCAAAGTATTAATTATTGAAACTGTGCTAGTAATCGGTTTTGAAACTGTCTCATTTCTATTTGTTTTTCAATAAAATTATTTTAAAAAACAAATAAATGCGAGGTCACACTGTGTGAACCTTACTTCTGCCTGCAAGAATGAGTTTTCAGAGGGCCAGTGAAATAGCTCAGTGGATTAAAGAGCCTGCTTAGGCAGACACAGGGGCCGGGAGTTTGATCCCTGGTGTACCATGCTGCTCCCCACCCCCCGAGGTGCGCTGAGATGGCGATTGAGACTGGGGCATGGTGGCACACATCTGTAATCTCAGTACTTGGGAGGCTGAAAACAGGAGAATCACTACGAGTCCAATCTGTGTAGTGAGACTCCCATAGACCCTGTCCTAAATAACCACCCCCCAAAAAAGTGAGTTTTCACTTTGTGTATCCTATTAAACTCAATATCTCAGGCCAGGCTCATTTCACCACTTTGTCAAAGTATTTGATACATGGCTGAGAGTCCTGCTCTACTATTCCTCAGTCCTCAGTTATTGGAAAAATACTTCACATGTCTTCTTGATTTTCTATGCCACATCTTCACAAATATAAAATAAAAAGCCACTCTTCTCAGTAATAGCATAGAATTTTGCATCATATCTACCATGTCTTCTCATTAATCAATTTCCATGGCTGTCATTTATTTGCCTTGTTTTCTAACTTACACTGTTCCTCATGGGCAGCATACAGTCTGCCCACTGCTTCTTGAATATCTGATGATCTCTTGTTTGCAAATATGTTTTGTTTACTGTGCTCAGTCTGTTAATTACCTCTCATTTTTTCTATGTTAGGATGTTGGCAAACTTGTAAAAATTAATTTTCTTTCCACATAATAATTTTGTGTTGAAGTTTTTTCAATATTCTCAAAAATATTTTTGGTGAGTTTTAACAATAACAATATGCATATACTGAGAATGCTCAGAAAATTTTATAACTGGGCATTGGGCAGTGGTTTACAGTACCCAGGTGAAACTCTGTTAGCTCATCCTTGTCTTCCCCATGAACAAAAATTGTCATATTTATTTTGATAGTTTTTCCAAATTTACCACATGCATTCTTACAGTTTTGTCCCCAAATGTTCTGTGAGTGAGTATATAGAAATTACACACAAAAGTACTAGAGGTGGTTTTTTTTTTCCACTCTGTTTCACATGTGCTCATGTCTGAATTAGGGAGAGTTAAAGACTCATCCATTATAGTGAACACATGACTGAGATATTTTTAAGTTCACTTGTTACAGATGGAGATGAGTCATATTTGCCTCCTGAAACAACAGTACAATATATTTTCTGGACATTAGATTAAAGCCATTTGTCTGTAGATTTTGCAGTACTCTGAAGTAGTGGATATGGTTGTAGAATTTCTTAATTGATCTTTCTTTCATCCTTTTATAAATCTATATACATATTGTGTTGTTCCATAATTTCATTTCTTTAGGCTCTTTCCTCATCTCAGGTCATGGATCTTGTGTATATTTGTTGTTTTCTCTTGAGTTATGTATGTTTTGATCATTTTTATGTGTTTTTTGATTTCATTCAGTATACAAATTCTTTTTATTGTGCACAGTATGAGTAATTTGTATTTATTTTTTCTACTGCTGTCATAATTTACATATGTATCAGTAATTCCCTATAATTCTGATGACTTTCTTCTAGAAAAAAATTATTTAAAAGATATTTGTGCTTGTTTTGGCAGTACATATACTAAAATTGGAATGGTACAGGGAAGATTACCATGGTTAAGCTCAACTGCCTATGTTATAGGGTAATAATATTATTAAGCTTCTCTTTGGGAGGGCTAACAGCTTAAGTTTGCAGACCAAAAATTTGAGAAAAAGAAAGGCTACAAGGACAGCCAACATTTTGGCCCTAGCCTTTCAAGGTCAGTGAAGACTCAGGACATAAGAGAACCTGTATTGTAACATCATGTAACTCAGTTGTGCCCCAAATTTTCTGATCAAGGAGATTATGGGGCCACAGAGGAAAGTGATCAGTGATGTAGAATGTGCCTAGGAAGAGTCACATGGAGAGAAAACATTCTCTCAGGCTTTCACAGAGAGCAAATTGATCAAGCAGTGGCTGTGATTCATCCACATGGCTGACACTGACAAAGGATCTATAAACTGTGGTGCAGAGTTTCAGGATAAATCTTGAGGGGATTTGACTGATCTTTCCAGATACAAAAGTTACATTTCTTGTTATATAGGTCTTGCTGTATCTTGGTCTTAACCATCCAGCAGAAAAGTATAATAACAAGGTATTAAAAGTAAAGTCAAGGGCCAGGGAGATGGAATAAATGCTTCCCTGGCAAGCACAAGGGCCTAAGTTCAATCCCTGGTTCTGAAAAAAAAAAAGTGAGGCCATATTAATATGCTGAGCTGTAAAGGGCTCAAGTCAACAACTTCTGACATTGGTAACCCACTACTATTATGGACTACTAGACTATATTGGATTATTTTGGTGAATTCATGCATCTGCTATATTGAAATGGCAATGGAATACCCATCTCTGACAAAACTAAACAAAAAAGGAGATATAAATGAAGGACCATTTTGTATCTGTCTATACAAAATAGTTAGGATAGATATCCGGCTACTTTCTCTTAATTCAATGAGAAGAAAGATTTGTACCAATAATGTTTGGATAGAATATCATGTCTGCATCTTGTACTATGAATAACCACTACGAAGACAACAATTTGCAATGTATTAATTATTGAAATTGTCCTATTAGTCAGTTTTGAAACTGTCCATTGCTATTCGTTTCTCAATAAAAAATGATAAAAAAAAAGATATGACTGAATTCTCAAAGTATCCAAGTTTACCTTTCCTATTTTAAGATTTATCTAAATTATTGCATGTGAACTATGAAGAATAAAGAGCATATTTGACTTATATTTTAAATATATCCATCACCCATTTCTCTGGCATATGCCACCTTTTGTTTTATTGAACTAAAAGACATTATATTTTCCATACTCTAATGTTCATTCTCTCTCTCTCCCCATATATATAATATAATTTTCCACAGATCAGACTTCTAGTGTTCCTCCTGTTTTCAGCCTCCCAAGCACTGGGATTACAGGCGTGTGCTACCATGCCCAGTCTCAATCACTGTCTCAACCTGCCCTGGTGTCAGAGCTGGCACTGCACACCAAGGATTAAGCCCCATTCCCTGTAATGTTGTTCTTAGACGTTCTCCAAAACAAGCTGTAATCTTTTTCATTAGCATTTCAAATTATGCTTGTTGAATTTTAGCGTTCAGTTACATTTCTATGAAACCATGGTCAGGTTTCAAAATATTTCCTAATTATAAGCAGAGAAGAAAAGGATAAATTCAATAAATAATACATGGGGGAAAATTATATTCTGTGATCTATAAGAGTAATTTATGATTTTTTTTTGTTTTGTTTCTTTACTGGGATCTTGTTCTAGAATTCTTGTACAAACCCTGCTTTAGAAGCAAGGTTGAAATAAAACTGAGGTTACCAGCAGGAGAAGCAGTACTCACATTCAACTGTTTCTTTAGCAATTATAGTCTGCCATCAAAATTCCTGAGGAGATATGTATATGAAAGGAGACTAAATGTCTGATAACCAAAATGTGAGGCAAACATTTAGAGGAATCAGGCTGATTTCAGCTTTTTATAAGTAGATGTGAGATGTTTCATATTGTCTCACTTTCTGGATTTATATGTCTGATAACTTAGGAGGCAGTGTCTTTTGAAGATGTGTCTGTAAACTTCACTATGGAGGAGTGGGCTTTGCTGGATCCATCTCAAAAGAAGCTCTACAGAGATGTGATGTGGGAGACCTTTAGAAATGTAGCTGATTTAGGTAAGGACAATTATCATTTTCTCATTTATCCATCAGAGCACTGATTACTTCTTATCAGTTTGGTTTATTTCATTGGAATATGAAAACACATGATGATGCGTCCAGCCATGATCACTGTATTATGATTCTAACTGGAATCTCTGAATTTTTATGTAATGCAGTAACTCATATTTTACTTTGTACTCTTTAGGAAGAAACTTGGGTAGTAAGAAAATTGAAGATGAGTACAAAAATTTCAGGAGAAACCTAAGGTAATTTGTACTCACAACAATGTTTTTCAAGAGTCAAAAGCACTAAAACCAAGAAAACTATTCAAATATGGCCATGTTCCAATTTTTTTAAACTCACAATATTTCACCATACATGTGGAGTGCCTACAATCTTATAATTGAATATTTGAAATCTCAGCAATGCTGACATGTCACAATTGACGTGATCTAAAATAAAAGAATAAACAAATTATTTCTTATCAAGATTATTAAAAATTTCATATGAAATTGCACTTAGTCATTGACTGTAGAAATATATAAAACAAATTATGTGGGGTTGGGCTGCACCTTAGCCATGGAGTGCTTCCCTCCCATGCTGAGGGCCCTAAGTTCAATCCCCAGTACCACAAAAAAATAAAATGAAAACCTTAAAACAAAGGCTTAGACTGAGTCAGATTTGGGATATTAAATTTAATCACTTGTATTTACACATTACTACATTCATGTTTATTTGAATGTGGTATATACATTCAATATTTGTAAAATTGCTATCCTTGTGTATAAATTCAAAATCCAAATGAATACTATTCTTTTGATATTTTCAAGCAGTCCTCCTAAGCATTCAATCCATTGATGTTCCCAAATATTAGAAGGAACATTTCCATAACATGTGTTGGAATGTTATTGTAGTATAACATCTATGAAAATATCTACCTCAGTTCCTCTAAAACATAGAAATAAAAATTTCATTTCATCCACCTGTACTTCTTCTGGGTATATTCTTCCAAAAGTTAAACCAATCATACTATAGAAATACATGCATACATGTGTTTGTAGCAGTACTTCTTACAAAAGCTAAACTCAGGAAGTGCCCATTCATATATTATCTGATTAAAGAAATCTGGCATAGCCTTGTAACAATGATGCATACATGGAACTCTAGCTCTCTAAGATACTGCCACAGGAAGATCATACATTCATGCTCAGCCTAGGAAACTTAGTAACTGAAGAGTCTTTGTCTCAAAATGAGAAATAAATAATGCTGGGAATGTAACTCAACACTAAAATCCTGGGTTAAATCCCCAGCCCTAAAAAGATGATTGCATAAATAACAAAGAATGAAATGATATAAATCCCCCCCCCCAAAAAAAAATCAGGATGGATCTGGAGTCAATAATGTTGTTATATAATTCAGACAGAAATTTGAATATCATGTGTTATATTTATTATGAGAGACATAAATTATGAATTAAAGAGTAAAATGAAAAATGATAGAAAAGATATTTTACAGTGTGTGAAGAGTGTCAGTGAAAGGGAGAAGAAATAGTCATAGAAAAAAGGATTATGAAAAACAACACATGCTGTATCTACCAATTCCTCCAAATGAATGTGTTATGTATTGCAAGTATATCAATTATAAATTGCCAAATGAATACTGATATTTGGTAAAAGTTGTTTCTAAGTATCATCTAGAGTACACAATAAACTCATGATCAGATATTCTTAAGAGGGCATCATACCAGATCTTTTCTCAGTAAATCATTAATTAAAGGGTACTTTTAACTATGTTTTTTAAAATCCTTTCATAGCAGTGAAGAAGTAGAAAAATATGATGATTATGAATTGTGCTATCAACATGAAGAAATGAATTTCCAGGCTTCAAATATTAATATGAACACAAAACCAGTTGCTAAAATACCACAAGAAAGCCTTGGCTCTAGAAATACCTTAATTGATCTTTCATCACTCAATGTGCCTATTATACCAAACAGTGAATTCAAATCATATGAATATCAGGGACTTGAAGACAAGCCTTCTAGCTGTAGTCAGTATGGGAAAACCCACACTGATTTCCAGCCATCTCAGAAGCAAGCAAAGATAAACACTGGAGAGCAACTTTATGAATACAAGCAATGGGAAAAATTATATTCTTACCACACTGAAGGAACTACCAGTGAAGAGAAAACCTGTTTATATGAGCAAGATGTGAAAGCCCTCGCTACAACTAACTATGTTCACAACTGGGAAAGAAATTACAGTGGAGTGAATATCTATATATGTACACAATGTGGAAAAAGTTTCAATTCACACCATTTCATTCAAATACATGAAAGAGCTCATATTGTAAAAAACGCATATATATCTAAATATGATGGAAAATTCTTTGGTGATAGCACTTCATTTGATAATCATCAAAAAACTCACAGTGGAGAGAAACCTTACTTGTGTAAGCACTGTGGAAAAGCTTTCAGCACACACAGTGATTGTCAGAGACATGAACGCACTCACACTGGAGAGAAACCCTATGATTGTAAGCAATGTGGGAAAGCTTTCAGGACCCATAGTGATTGTCAGAGACATGAACGCACTCACACAGGAGAGAAACCCTATGAATGTAAGCAATGTGGGAAAGCCTTCAGGACACACAGTGATTGTCAAAGACATGAACGCACTCATACTGGAGAGAAGCCCTATGAATGTAAGCAGTGTGGGAAAGCCTTCAGCACACACAGTGATTGTCAAAGACATGAAAGAACTCACACTGGGGAGAAACTCTATGAATGTAAGCAATGTGGGAAAGCCTTCAGCACACACAGTAATTGTCGAATACATGAAAGAATTCACACAGGGGAGAAACCATATGTGTGTAAGCAATGTGGGAAAGCATTTAGTAGGCACAGTAATTGTCAAATACATGAACGAACTCATACAGGAGAGAAACCCTATGTATGTAAACAGTGTGGGAAAGGTTTCAGCAGACATGGTACTTGTAGAATACATGAAAGAACACACACTGGGGAAAAACCTTATGTATGTAAGCAATGTGGGAAGGGTTTCAGCAGACATAGTCATTGTCAGATACATGAAAGTACTCATGTTGGGGAAAAACCCAATGAATGTAAGCAATGTGGAAAAGTTTTCAGTACACAAAGTGATTGTCTAAGACATGAAAGAACTCACAGTGAAGAGAAACTTTATGTATGTAAGCAATGTGGCAAAAGTTTTAGGACACACAGTGATTGTCAAAGACATGAACGAACACACACTGGGGAGAAACCCTATGTATGTAAGCAATGTGGGAAAGCATTTAGCAGGCATGGTAATTGTCAAATGCATGAACGAACACACACTGGAGAGAAACCCTATGTATGTAAGCAATGTGGGAAAGCTTTCAGCAGACATGGTGCTTGTCAAATACATGAGAGAACTCACACTGGGGAAAAACCTTATGTATGTAAGCAATGTGGGAAAGCTTTCAGCAGACACAGTCATTGTCAAATACATGAAAGAACACATATTGGGGAGAAACCCTATGAATGTAAGCAATGTGGGAAAGCTTTTAGCACACACAGTGATTGTCAAAGACATGAAAGGACTCACACTGGGGAGAAACTCTATGTGTGTAAGCAATGTGGGAAAGCTTTTAGTACACTGAGTAGTTGTCGTACACATGAAAGAACTCACACAGGAGTAAAACCCCATGTATGTAAGCAATGTGGGAAAGCATTTAGCACTCGCAGTCATTGTCGAATACATGAAAGAATTCACACTGGGGAGAGACCTTTTGTATGTAAGCAATGTGGTAAAGCTTTTAGCACACACAGTAATTGTCAAGTTCATGAAAGAACTCACACTGGGGAGAAACCCTATGTATGTAAGCAATGTGGGAAAGCTTTCAGCACACCAGGTTGTTGTCGAAAGCACGAAAGAACTCACAGCAGGGTGAAACCCTATGTATGTAAACAATGTGGAAAAGCTTTCACAACACAGAGATATTGTCGAATACATGAAAGAATTCACACTGGGCACAAATCCTTTGAATGTAAACAATGTGGGAAAACTTTTATAACACAGAGAGGTTGTCAAGAACATGAAAGAAAACATTGGAAGGAAACTCTATCTATATAACTCACATCTATGAATGTGAGAAAGCTCTCAATGTGCACAGTATTCATCAAAGACATTAAAGGATTCACTAGCTATAAACCATAGGTATGTAAGCAATGAAGAAAAACTCAGCACACACAGGTATTGTCAAATACATGAATCATAAAGGGAACCAATGCTGTTTAAGTTACAGAGAAAACCATCCACTTATACTCTCAGATATTAAACAAGTAATTTGATTGTGAATATATAAAGTGACTTGCACTGACCTGAAAGGACATGAAGTGGAGAGGAGTTCTTTCTTTGTAGGCAGTATGAAAAATTTAATTCTAATTCTAACTTCAATAACCTGGTAGGCCAGGGCCACCACCCTACCCATCAACATATTTGGTCCATATTTGAGCATTAGATCATAAATGTACTTGAGTCCTCAGTAATGGGGTTGTTTGTTTGCATGTCTTCTTAGTATTCTTTGTCATATCTTCACAAATATGAACACAGAATCATTCAAGGATAACTGAGTTAATAATCTACATTCCTGATATCCAGCAAGGTGTCAAACCACTGTTTGCTGGATGTCTGAAGCCCTCATGTTTTGAATGGTCCTATTTTGTTTAGTGTGATCAATCTGTACAATTTCTATGATTTTTTTCCTTGTTAAAAAGTAGACAAATATGTATAAATCTATAGATTCTTACCATGTGATATTTTAGTGCATAAATACTTTTAAGTAAACTATATTTTCAGAAAAGTTTTTGGTGAAACTTAATAATAACCATATAAATATCTCAGGAATACTGAGAAGTTCTTATAACTGAGCCTTGGGCAGTGGCTAAGAGTACCCAAGTGAACTCCTACTTGATTTATTCTTGTCTTCCCCTTGAATTACCACTGTCACTTCTTTGGCTGTTTTTTGTAAGTTTACCATGTGTCATTCTCACCACCAGTATTCATTCCATTTTGAATCCTTGGAATATTCAATAAGTGGATATTATAGAAATTTCACAGAGATGTATTTTATGTGGTATCTTTGTCTCACTATATTTTACATGTGCTTATGTTTGAGTTGGGGTAAAGGACATTCTTGTCCATTATGGTGGCAACAAAGTTGAAATTTGCTCAAGTTTATTTTGTATAGATGTGAAAAGAATCACATTTTCTCTAGAACAGTGGTGCAATATATTTTCTGGATATTGCATTAAAGTCTTATCTAAAGATATTGGTCTACTCTGACATACTGTATATAGCGGTGCAGTATTACATTTATATTTTTATAAGTCTACTTAATCATAACCTTTTCACAACTTGATTTCCTTTGGCTATTTCCTCAAACAGTATAATGGATCATGTTTTTATTTGATGTTGTGTCTTGAGTTATTTATGTTTTGTTCATTTTTCCTGTGTTTATTGATTTTTTACTCAAAATACATATTTTTGTATGTAGTACAAATAAATTATATTTATTGTCTTTTTAACCTCTTGCTTTACATAGATTGAAATTTCTCTTTATTCTGATGGTTTCATGATTTTTTCTGGGAATAAATTTTTTCACCTCCAAAAGATAGTCAACTGAATTCTCAAGGTATTTGTTTATGTTTCTCATGACAATGTAACTAAATTATTGTACATGGACTGTGAAGAATAAAGTGCTTGTTTTGGTATATGTACCTGTTTGGTCCAGCCTCCTGTATTAAATAGATGATGATTTCTGACATGTTATTCAATAAGAGTGCTATCAAATTATTTTTTATTTACATGTGAGCCCTTCAAAGACTTTTCCTTTTCATGCTACTAGTACCTGGCTTCCGCAAGGATTTTAAGTCTCATTCTATATATTAAGCAAGGTCTCACCTTGTTTACTAGTCATTGAGCATTGTAAAACATGTTATAATTAATACTCATGATTATTTCTGCCAAATCTAAGGTGAGATTTGGATGTGATTATTTTTCTAAACTATTTTCATTTATTTTTAGTGTTTGTTAATTTTAAAAAGTTGGTGTCCAATACATATATATTTTGATCATATCCAACTTCCATCTCCCTTATGCTACCATAGAAAATTTTTTTTATTTCTGTGGTAGGTGACTATTTTATGTCCTTGAGCTGTAAGATAATGTATCTTCCCTAGTCTGAGTTCATTGCTCTTAGACATTCTCTGATGAAAGCTAATATCTTTATTAGCAGTTTAAATTGCCCTTCATTATTTTTTCTTGTTTAAACTTTAACTTATAAAACTTGTTGCAAGTTCCAAAATGGTGTCTAAATACAGTCTCAGCAGGAAGATATTGATCCTCTATATAAGTTGAGCAAAGATAATTTTATGAACAGAGCAATTCACTAGATATTTTTCTACCAGTGTTTTACTTGAATGCTGATCATCTAGGCTTCCTCTTTGAGCCATGCTTTAGAGACAGTGCATGTGGAAAACAGGCTAACAAGTAGAACTAGAGTTCTTATTCCACTATTGTTTTAGAAATTGTGTGAGATATGCATATGAATGTAGAGTTAAGTGTTTAAAAAGCAAGGCATAAACTAAATATTTAGAACATGCAGACATTTCACCTTATGAGTAGATTTTTTTTTTTTTTTTTTTTTTTTTTTTTTTAGGGAAGGGTCTACAGGGTGTTCAGGGTCTCACTACTAGATCGGACTTGTAGTGAATCTGCCTGTTTACAGCCTCCCATGAGCTGGGATTACAGGCTCATGCCATCATACCCAGTCTCAATCACCATCTCAGCTTGCCCCCATGGGGCGGGACCGCCACGGCAATGAGTAGATTTTAAGTATTTCATAGAGCAAATCTCATTCTTCCTAGATATAAATGTCTTCTGATTTAGGAGGCAGTGATCTCAGAAGTTGTGTCTGTGAACATCATAGAGGAATAGGTTTTCTTTGATCCATCTCCAAAGGTCAAATGATATAAGGTATGGGAAACCAGTAAGAATGTGGCTTTTATGATGTCTTTTTTTTCATGTAGGTAATTGAGGAGCATTGCTTGTTGCTCATCAGTGCATTTTCCTTTAGTGAAATATAAAAACATTTTGATGACTTCCAGACATGTTTACGTTGTATCTTGAATCTAACTGGTACAGTAAAGCAATCTCATATAGCAAGTTATCATTATATTTATTTCTATAGCATAGAAAGAAATGGATATTGACCAAATTGAAAATGAGTACAAAAATTATAGGCGATATCTAAGATAATTTACAGTCACATAACAATGTTTCTTAAAACTCAGTATATGAACTAACACTAAAACCAAGCAAAGTACAAACTAGTCTATATTCACATTTCTTCAATTTCACAGAATTTGTTCAAAGATATCAAAAGCTTGAGTATTTACAACCTGAAAATGGAATATTTAAACTATTTCAAAATTTCAAATATAGGAACTTATATTATGCCCCAATTCTCATTATCTAATGTATCAAAATAAGCAGATTATTTTCCAAGGCAGATTATAAAAATATTTTATGAAGTTTCACGTAGACATTGAGTATCTGTGTATATAATGAATTTGATTTTTTGGTTGGAAAATAAACCTATCTATATAAACAAGTATTTTTTTTATAAACCACTTTGATATCTTAACAATTTGTGTAAGGAATGCTGTTTGTACTTAAATTTGTTACAGTAACTCCCCGACTTATGATCAAGTTCCAGCCCAAGAAAAGATTTAAGTTAAACTCATTACTCTGACAAAGTGACTCTTGCAGACTTTTGATACAAATATGTAAAACATAAAAAATCAAACATACCATAAGTCTCCCACTGTACTTTACTATTGTGCACTATTGTACTTTACAGTTAGCACACAGCAGCACAATTATGACAGTGTCCAGCAGACATGTGAGCTACTTGCACAATTTATTCACATTTATGGATGTTTATAATGTAAGGTCCATTTGCATCTGTGCATGTTTTCAACTCAAATGTTCTTAAGTCAGGGACTTAATATACATATTCAATATTTGCACAATTACTAGCTTTGTGGAAGCAGTCAATTTCCAAATGAATGCTACTAGTTTGATAATAATTCTGTTCAAATAACTCCCAAAGAATTTTAGTGCATTCATGTTCCAAAATCTTACAATGCACTTTCCTATATTGTTGCTGAGAAGGTCATTGTCAAATATCAAAATTGTCAATTACAAATACTTAAATGAATACTAATGTTTTGGTAAAACCTACCTTCACATGTTATTCAGAGACTAGTAAATTTATGGTTTGTGTATAGATGTCTCCCCAGAGCCTCATGCAGTCATGGAGCGGGTTTCCAGAGTTTGTGATTTTAATTCATGATTCAGTGATGAGATTCTGAGTGTGAGTACTACACCTGCTCTGGGGGAGATAACCTGGATGCAGTATAAGGGAGTGAAAGAGGCTTGCTCTCTGTTGCTACTTCTCCCTTTTGCCCTTGGTTAGCCCAGCTCTTGCTGTATTGCTCATTTCCACCAACATGAACTGTTGCCCTCTGCCATGTGCCACTCTTCCTTAGAGCCCAGCTGATTATGGACTCCGGCAACTGTGAGCTAAATAAATCTTCCTTATTTTGGGGTGTTGGATGTTTTGTTCCATCAATAAGAAAAAAGTAACTGAGACAGTAAATTAGTGATCAGATATTCTTGTGGTACATTAATTCAGATCATCTCCTAGTAAATAAATAATAAAAACCTAGAAAATGTGATTGTGTTTTTAAAAAGTTTTTTTCCAGTAATGAATATATAGAGAAATGTTACAATATATATTATGGTATCAAAATGAGGAAATGTATTTTGGACCTCAGATAATATTGTGTATGTGAAAGCCATTGGTAAAAGATCAGTTGAAAGTCTTGCTCCCACAAACCCTTGATTGGTCATTGTCATGAAATGTACCAATTATACCTTACACTGGACTTAGTTAAGTGTGTATCATGAGTTTTAAGAAAATCTGTATAACTACAGAAAACATGAAAAAAAGAACACTGAATCACAATTCTTTCAGAACATACAAAGGTAAGTCCTGTGGAGAATGTCTATGAATACAAGCAATGTGGAAAATCTTAATCTTCAGTGAATAAACTTAACATTGAAGAAAAGCTCTTTGTATCTAAGAAGAAGTGAAAGGCTTCAGTACACATAACTATGTTCAATTCCAACAAACACATTTCAGTGGAATAGATATGTATGAGGACATACAATATTGAAGAAGTTGTAATTCTAACCATTTTTTTAGATACAAAAAGAACTCATACTGCAGAGTATGGGAAACCCTTTTTATGCAAACAATGTGGAAAAGTTGTAGGCAAATATGATAATTATTAAACACATGAACTCACATTGAGGAGAAATTGTATGCATTCAAACAATGTAGGAAAGCTTTCAGCAGACCTACTAATAGTCAAGAACATAAAAGTACTTGCACTACAGAGAAATCCTATGTAAGTGAAGTACAAAAGCATTTGGCACATGCAGTCATTGTCAAGATCATTAAAGAACTCGAGTGAAATCTGCAAAGTAAAATTTAAACATATACAGTATATTTATTACACAAAAGAACAGGGTTAAGTGGTTTGGAAAATTTTTAACAGTTGTCAACTATAGGACGTGAAAGAATTCACTGGGGAGAGATGCTATGTAAGCAATGTTAGAATGCATTTGAAGCACATTGGTATTGTCAGTTACATAAAAGGGATCACACTAAGGAGAAATATTGTTCGGTAAGCAGAATGGAAAATACTTCAGTTACTCCAGTTCTAATCCTAGACATTAAGAAACAATGCCTTGCATTGATAAGGAAAAAAAAACTCACAGGAGACATCACTCAGAATTTCCTTCACAGAATATAATCACTGTACCAAGAGGAAACCCAGTTCCAGGTCTACATTGGAGGTTATAACTGTAGACTTGCCTCCTATGATTAGAGATACCAAATTAGCATTTGCCACAAATTATCAGCTTCTAGACTGTGCTTGATGAGATGATTATTGCTAGTTTGACTATGTTAGCCAACAAGCCATATTTGTTGTAATCAGTTGGTAACCCTTCTAAAACACTGGTAATATTTAAGATCACAATCATCTTCATAGAAAAGTACCAAAAGTCAGAATTCTGAACCAAATAGAGCATAACACATGATCACTAATAAAATCAAAAGATAGTTATAGGGACAAACAAAAGAACATCAGCCAGCAAAACCTACAAGACATCCCACAGGTGTAAGCATTTCTTAGGGAAGCTTTGATAGCAATATGAAAGCTATCTAACAGATGATGATACAAATAACACAAAAATTAAAATAAAAAGTAGAAAATGACACAGAAACAAAATGCAATCCCCAGAATTTCAGTCTAAGAAGAACAAACCTAGGGGAAAACAGGGTATAGTAAACCAGAAGCCATCCAGCAGAATT